GTAGGCAGCATTAATGTATTTATTTTTGCCTCCCGCAGGTACTGAACTCCAATGTGTTGGACACTTTGATGCTCTCTTCTCTATTCTCGATATGGACGGCTACGATGATTTGAAGCTCCGAGCCCTTGATGTAAGTCTCCTTAATCTCTCCATGTTTACTCTCTTTTACTTTGATTTTAACAACTATGTGAATTCTTTCCAGGTTCTTCGCAGCACAGCAACCAACACTGAGTGTCTAAAGGATATTCACGCGTCCAAACTCCTAGTTGGTGCCATAATGCTTTTCCGTTCGCTTCCACAAGGTACTTGTTTTTTGAAATAACCTTATCCTATTCGGCTTTGGTATTGACTGAATACGTCGAGTCTTCTTCGTAGTTAAATCATGGCTGCTTTTTACAGATTGGTTTTGTGTTTGTGTGAGATGAGTGAAGCTTGCTCTCGTCTTTTCTTCGGAGCACATCGCTCGTTGTCAAAACCGTGCTCAATCAGACTTGCAGTTACCGTAGCTGATGTGAGTAGAATGACTATTTCGGGTTTATTATCTGTCTTCAGCCAATCAAACAAAATCTCAGGTCTTGGTAATACATCCAAGCCCTAACCATTAAGTCACGGGCACACTCTCTGGTCTTTCCTTAGGCCCTACTGGTCTCGTTGTTGGTGGGCTCGAGAGTAAGCCCTAACTCACAGTAAAAGTCTAATTTACCGTAGTGCGGCCAGTGAGTGCCTTTTACCATTATTAGTAACGAAACCGATGAAGACTGTCTTGACGGTCCGATGTGAGGTCGCCCTAATAAATTGGACTATATCCACATCTGACCTGATACTTCAGTCTGATCGACAGAGGATCAGGTTTCAGTGACAACTTGTGATTGTTACCTCTGTGCCGGCTGCCTTCGTGCGCGTGTGCGAACCAGCACGTGCACTGCATAGATTTCACATTCTCGCCATGTCTGCCTTTTCGCCTCTGCTTACCTGCAGCCGCCTCGACCTTTACTCGGGAAGTGTAGGGGGTGTACGAGTGCCACTAAAAGCGAAAATTTGCGTCCTAGGAAATAATTGAGAAGAAAATGTGACCGCTAGAACAAAAACTTTATTATTCTGGCATTTCGAATTCCGTCGCGGATCCATCATCAGAGACCATAGCAGAAACGGATAATTCATGCACAAGGATTTACAATATTTCTAAGATAGTTATCCGCTTTTGCGCTTGCTGCTTGATGACTGGTATGCGGGTCTTGACCTCCCGAACTTTCATCAGCAGTGGTGGACTTGGGCTTGATGATTGCTCGGCTATCAAGCGCTCTGGGACTGGCGTTAGAAGGCACTTTCGTCTGTGCGCTCCCGAGGGACGAATTGCTTTGGCCAAACTGAGCCTCAGCACCCAGTATGGGTTGAGCATGTCATTGTACTGGTTTATAAAGTTGGGACCCGTTAGCCATGCTTCAAGCAGCTCTTGGCTCATACGATTTTTTATCTACCGAAGTTTTCAGCCTCTTTGCAGTTAAATGTGTGGAGGGGTCTCTTTGGACCATCTGCGACTCGGGAATGAGCACTATTTCTTCGCAATGCTGTCGCGTGTTCGGCAATTCGCGTCTTGAGAAATCTTCCCGTTTGTCCGAAGTACTTGATTTGTCGGCGATTGCAAATAGGTCGTTTTAGTTTCATTATCTAACGCCTTATGCTTGTCTCCAGTCTGTGTGTGACTAAAACCTCGAGTGGTGCGGGAATGCGGCGACGGCCTCAGAAACGTTTTTGCCTTGTGGAATTACTCGCCAAAATTTGGAGTTAATGCGATTTTGTTACTCATCGTTTGCGTATGCATGGTTTGACGAAGTTGCGCGGGTAGTCATTTTCTCTGAAAACCCACCAGAGGCATTGCAGATCAGCAGTTTTGTCTTCCGGTTCACTGCCATGCGTCCCAGCACGCCGATAATGCGTCCTTACGCAACTGCGTTTGTGGCTGATTGGGTTGTTGCTGTTGAACTTTAGTACTAGCATTGTATTTGTCGCCTTCCTGAAAACGTTGGTCTTTAGGCCGCCACAATCTTTGCGGCAGACTTAGACAACAAGGAAGACCAGCTGGTTGTTTCCTTTCTCCTCCATCGTAAATTGTCTATCCGGCAGTACGCTGTTGAGACGTTCTTTGAAAGTGAGCACCTGATCCCGTTCGATGACCACGAAAATATCATGCACTTACTGCACCCAGAATTTCAGTCCTTGGTGTCGGAAGACCAGTAACCGTTATAGGTGTAGAAGTCGTCCTAATTAACTCCTCAATTTCAATGACCTAAATGCCTGAATGTTTCGTCTTTAATCTTGCTTTCAAATAGGAGTCCTAGGAATCTTACCACTTTTTGATGCACTCATTCCGTCCCACATTCACGTCTGGACGTTTTATCCTCTCTGAAAATACTTTTATGTTGACCGCTTTTTTCCACATACGGCTTGATGTTTTTGTGTGGCTGCCTATGCCTACACTGCCCTAGCTGTATGTGAATTATTTCCTCTTTTGTGTACGCTTCTCTTTATTTGATTACAGCTTATCTACCTTTGATTGAGTTCCTGAACCACGTTATCGTCGTGAATGATCTGCTCAAGGAGGTTGTCTACACCGGCGGCCTAGTCTACCTCCTCGAAGTCATCGCCACCTCTGAGGCCCGTGACGTCCGTCAGGCTGCTGTCGGCTTTCTAAGCCGTTGTCTGGCCAACCCTCAGGTCGGGCGACGTATTCAGGCTCTTTTGAGCCAATTCCTGCCGGCCATCTTCCCGGAGACCATTCGTGACAGTCCAGAGGCATTCCTACCACTGTTTGAATGTGCGTTTGTCTTTAGTCTTGTGGAATATTATAGCGACAAAAGGCCTGCTGACGAAATATGTCTGTTTGATTGAATGTGATAGCGTCATTGTTGACTTTTAAACGCCGTTTATCTAGACCAAACTAAATGCGCGACTACGATCATTTCAGTAGAGTATATTTATTATTCGCATGTGCGTTTGTCTTATCGCTTTCCATTAACTTATTCGCGCCCGTTCGTTTCTGCGTTCTTGCCTGTAAATTGTTGTTTCGGGTGCTATCCTCATGGTCTTCCAGCATACATTCGTTAATCACACAATTACGGCCAGTGTAGGTCAGCATAGACTGCTGGATTCTTCACAGAGTAGCAGATAGCCTTTACACTTCTGATCTCTGAACCTAGGTCGAAAGATGCCAGTAAACCTAAATGTAAGGTGTCGTAAATATTCTTGCTAGTGAACAGGGATTGGCAGTAAACTTCGTGCATCACTTTGAGTTTGCAAGTTATATAAAGACGCCACTAGCTGCCTACTGTAAGTTAAATCTTAATGTTTAAATCCGTCCAGGCTAACTTCTTGCTGTCCTGCCTGACCGCCGTTACTTTAAGCGTCTTTTTTCAAGTCGATGCTCAAACCGGTTTTATATATCCACGAACTATAGGGTCCTTTTGAACACACAACAGTTATCTGTTTACTAAAAGTATTTTACTAAAGTCGAATCAGGCAGTGTGGATGGCCAATCAATGTTTTCATTTCTTCCAACCTGCTTGTCTTACAATATTTCGACCGTCGCCTCCAACGAGGACCACCGCGTGCCAGAATGGGCTAGGGACAGTGGCTTTTGCAAGGATTACTTTTAAGTGGTAATCGACTTGCGTTGCCCTCTCTTCTCTCACCTACCTGTGGTAACATACATACAGTATTTTAACCTCCCGGACCTGATCGGGTAGGGATCAGGCGTGTGGCTGACGCAGTAGTAACCGCGAGTTCCTTGAACCATGGTGCACGAGCCCCCTACCTGTTAGCAAGTGCAATGACCTGCTGAACCCATGTTCGGTGCTGAGACTTGGTTTGCCCAAAGCAATCAGACACTCAGGTAGCGAGCAGGCAAACACATATCTACCGCCGAGGAACCAGTTGGCCGAACGGTCGTTACGCCAATCTCCAACATGGTTGATTAAATTTCAGCAGATAATGACTGTCATGCCGGCCATCGAGCAACAAGCGCCCCAGAGGCAGTCATCTTAGATGAATTTGGGGAGCCGTTAAAGGTATGCATTAGCCTGGCGACTGTACCCTTTGAATACTGCAACTTCCTGTGTATGAATTACCCTATATCGGTGCTCTCCCTGAAGATTATTTCGAGCCGGAATCTGAGACTTCAGGCGAATAATTTTCTTGTCCCAGCGGTTGTCTCTTCTTTCCTTGCTCCTACTTTGAACACCATACACCTGCACAAATTTTCGGTGCGGTTCCATCAACTGGGTTCCCTTTCATTTAAAGACGTTTAATTGACTCTCGTCCGATAGCCAATCGGAGAGACACCCAGTTTATGCAGGTGCGCAAGGCGCTCTTTAAGAGTATTATGGTATGTTGCCCGTGAGTTTCTTGGGCACCTACAGTTATTCCCCCTATCTCACGAAACGTCAGCCGAAATTCTGAGGCGTGTTTTCGGTTCAAAAAAGGCACCTAAGTAAGGTTGTAATGTCTCAAGATACTTTGGTCACGTCAGCTTGCCGGCTTTTTAACGAGCATCTTTTGTGAGCGCCTACAAGGAATCTACTGTTGAAAAATGGCAACTTATGTAGTATGCATTTTTATCATTGACTTTCACTGTTGGTATAAATTCAGATTTATTTTAATTTTTAAAAAACGGCGCAAACTTATTCTTTTTTACTCGTTCGATAGCAAATTACGCACTCTTCCGATTTTATAATTGAAGAAAGGGTATCTTTTTGTTTCAAAAGAAATTTCCAAATTGCCGAAAACTGTTTTTTTTGTCCAGGTCTCCGAACTGCTTGCCGTACACATTCTGTCGTATGATAAGCAAATATTTCACTTCCGTGTTAGGAAGAAGTCACATATTTCCCGTAAAATGTTCCCATGGATGTGCACCAGGTTGTGTAAGTTATAGACAGCATTAATAAATGTACAGGTACTTTTCTTTAGAACGCACGTTTCATGGTCATAAAATGAGTACTATTTTCTACCAAATGAGTACAGGAAAGAATATTTTTATTCAGTTTTTTTAAATATATTTGGATTTTTAGGAGCAGTGAAAGTCAATGAATAAAATACATACTACTTATATAGCCATTTTCTACAGGAGCTCGTCCAAATGCCTCTTTACGTGACTGAAATACATTAAGATTAATTCGCAAGATAATCGGTATTACATCAATACGTAATTAATATGTTCGAATCTAAAACACCGTTCAGAATTTCGGTTAATATTTCATGGGATTGGGAATAAACTTTATAAATCTGGTCACTCAGCCCGCGTTGTCGTGCGTAGCTGATGTGTTTTATTTTTTACTTCTCTCCTCCCTCGCCAGCTGACCATCAAAATCCGGAGCTCATCTGGAATCAGATTTGTCGGGATCAATTGACGGATGCCGTCACTAGTATGTCTCAAAAGTAAGTGGGTACTCATTGCTTCTATGCACCACTCGCCTTGTGGAGCTTTTGTCCTTCCGATCACCTTTTCCTCTCCCCACGCCTTGGTTCTAGGTTCGGTGAGCAGCAGGCCAAGAACCGGTCCCTCCGTTGGACTCTTCCTGATGCCTTCTCAGTCTCCTACGCGTCAGCCATGTCCACCAGCCTCCTCTCCCAGGGTCTCCTGAAGGAGACGGATCTGGTGAGTCTGGAGTCTACCGGCGGTCTCGTGGTCGTAGCCGGCGTCTACCTTCACCTATACGTTAATCAGCCAGGCTGGATGCTGCGTCAACCGGACGTCTTCCTAGACAGTCTCATGGCAAAATTGTTGGAGGTATGGCCAGCTCAATTGCTCTAGGTTTT